TTTATTATAAATAATAAAAAAAAATGGTTCAGGACTTTTCGACTCAGTTTTACTCCTTCTACCTGCCTACGAGAGATTGTACGGCAATTCTGGGACACCCTGTATATTATTCCTGTCAGAATCGCAACACTTGTCAAATTGACCAATCGCATTGAGCGAACTAGCTACTGCAATTGGTCAATTTTATACAAGTGTTGCGACTGTGACTTGAGACAAGCTGTACTATTCTATTCATTGTATATAGACAACATTTAGTAGATCATTGTATATGTGGCCTTACAAGCGAAATCTTACTGTCCAGCGTGAATGTGATTTTTAGACTGTGATTTTTGGATTTTGGTTTTTTACAATTTATATTATCTATACATACGCTATTTATAAATTTAATTTATTAAATAAACTGAATGATGAAGAGAGTGATTATTTTTGTTAACGGGACTGATGTTAATGGCAAGGTATGATGTTTTAAATAAAAATCATTAATTTTGTAATTTGTGTAATTATTTATGTATTTATGACAGGTGTTTGTAGTGACTCATTCGTTAGACGAATTATTGACAGCGGCTAGTGCAAAATTTGAAACAACAGCAAAAAAACTCTTTACACCACAAGGTGGTGAGATTGATGATATCAAGCTAATTAGGTAAACTGCTTGTGCGTTTAAATAATTTTTTACTAACAATCTTATGTACAACATGTATTCATATAAATGTGTGTAAATATAATATTTTATTTCATTTATATATGCACAAAAAATAAATAATATTAGAAATTTCTTTTTTTTTTTTTAGGGATGATGACATTTTGTATGTTTCAAGTGGAGAAGATTTTATACACTTAAATAAAATATGTAGCCATAATAAATTAAATAAAAATCCAGAATGGATTACATTGAATATAGGAGGTAAATATTTTACTACGACTAGGGACACTCTGACAAAGAAGGAGCCTATGAGTATGTTGGCAAGGTATGGTTTTTTTTTTTTTTTTTTTAAGAGATCTATTTTGTCATAGTAAAATATTGTTTTCTGCGCAGAATGTTTACAGAGAGCACAGATGCTGAACACACAATACAACCTAGTAAACAGGATCATCTCGGAGCATATTTGATTGATAGAAGTCCTACATATTTTGAACCACTATTAAATTACCTTAGACATGGTCAGATGATACTTGATTCCAATGTCAACATAGCGGGTACATGCGTTTTAATCTTCGTCTGAAAGTTTGCAAAATATAACCGAAAAACTCTTGTTTTTATAATTAAAATGTTTTTATTCTCAGGTGTATTAGCAGAAGCTTGTTTTTATGGCATTGAAGGTGCTATTCGAATTCTCACTTCAATGTTGGAAAAAGAAGAACTGCAAAAAGAAGGTCTTGTGTCTCTTACTCGCAAAGATGTACTTAAAGCTATCATGTCGACGCCAATTACCGCAGAACTGAGGTTTCAAGGAGTTGATTTTGTGAGAGCCGATCTTTCAAAGCTAGATCTCAGAAATATTAACTTTAAGGTGCTTACTCTATTTATAACTCTATTTATAACAATGGAATGAAGTCGATCAATATAGCTTATGATGTTAACACAGAGAAAATATGTTTTCTATATTTAAAAACATATTTCTCATTACAGTATGCTATCATGCATCATTGCAGTCTGGCAGGCGCTAATCTGTCAGGATGCTGTTTTGAGCGCGCCGATTTATCTCACGCCAATTTGCAAGGCGCTCAACTCGTATGCGTCAAAATGTCGTGTGCAAATTTAGCCGCGGCGAATTTGTATTCGTGCAATTTCGAGGATCCAGGTGGTCTGGCCGCGAATATGGAGGGCGTGAATTTGAAAGGTGCTAACCTCGAAGGCAGTAATATGGCATACGTCAATCTTCGGGTGGCCACGTTAAAGAATGCTATTCTTAGAAATTGCGTTTTGAGATGCGCCGTTCTAGCCGGTGCCGATTTAGAGGTAATCACATTGTTACATGTATTTAAGAAAACTCGATGACACAGGTTTTTCAATTTCTGTTTTTTATAGTGTTAAAAGTTAATACATACACATTTATATTTGTTTTCAGTGTTGCGACTTATCTGGCTCTGATCTGCAGGATGCGAACTTGCGCGGTGCGAATTTGAAGGATACCGCTTTTGACTTAATGTTGACGCCGCTGCACATGTCTCAAACAATACGATAACAATGAATGTTATGCCACACGCATATTAATACTGCAGCTTAAATTTTGCAGTAATTATGTGTTTGGCATAAGTGGCAGTAATTTAAATTCGGCTAACATTGTAACATAAGATGCTCTTCTCGTGTGACATGAAACGGCATTAAAATTGGGATGATTATTGTAATGCACGCATACACAACATACAAGAGAGAAAGCACACACACGACAGATAAACTACAGTGAAAAAAAAAGATGTTTTTTAAAATGCTCACTTAAATACATAACTATGTATTTAAGTGAGCATTTTATAATAAAATAAATATAATAAATATAATATTCTATTATATATATATATTCTGTTATCAATTTTTTGAGTCACACATTGATAGTTGTAGAATGTATTTAGCATTTTAAAAAATGCTCACTTAAATACATAACTATGACTATTACATGTGTATAATTTAACTTCTCGATATAGCATTTAACAAGTAATAGTATATTATTATACATTCCACAACTATCAATGTGTGACTTAAAAAATTGATAACATAATAGAGAATATATAACAGAATATTATATTTATTATATTTATTTTATTATAAAATGCTTACTTAAATACATAACTATGACTATTACATGTGTATAATTTAACTTCTCGATATAGCATTTAAAAAGTAATAGTATACGTATATTATTATACATTCTACAACTATCAATGTGTGACTTAAAAAATTGATAACATAATAGAATATATAATAGAATATTATTTTTTATTTTATATATAGATGCATTAGATTTACTTAATGTTTATTTATTTGAACCCTTGTGCTGCAATAATTTAATTATTAGCGCTGTTTTGTGATATATATTTATAAGAATCGAATTTAAACAAACCCAATAAAATGGAAGAAATGATAGAAAGTTTTACTTGCACTCTTTTTATTATCGGTTTCTTTATTATTATGTTAGTATATATATATATATATATTTTCTGGTCCTTTTTATATATTGTATTATTCCAACGAAAATAAATAAATAAATATACAAGAGCTTTTAGACATTGCTTTTAGACAATTACTTATTAATTGTTTTAAAACGTGAGAAAAATATTTTTCAAAGTCGATTGCGAGTAGTTCTGTGTTTGTTAAAAAATATAAAAAGTTCTATAAAATTTAAAATATAAATAAATGCGAGTACGCGCGCGAATAAAAAAAAAATGCTGTGCAGAGATGCTCTCAAAGTCCCCGCCAGGCAGCAGAACGAGATATTCGCGCCAGGGGTTGGTGGTCGGAAACCCGGGGGTTGCAAGGTACGTCTGTCTGCAGTAGTTCCGCGGACAGCGACGACGCCGCTACGTAGCTTACAAGCACTCTCTGTCGCTATTTTTCTGCTTGCAAACCAGTCGAGATTTTTTTCCCGCACTGAATGACACGATGCGCACCGGAGAGACATCCGTTAATGCATCGGCATGCGCATTCGGTTGTTGCACTTGGCGAGCTCCGACGACGCGTTGAAATCAGCCGATTGTCTCTTCCCGCTATAATACTTTATCTATTGTGCGCGATGTGTGACATTCGATCGGAAAATTATGATTAAACCAAACGGCGAGTTAACATACAATTAATGAACAATTGTGAAGGTGTTTGTGTTAATTATGTTACGCGGTTGTGAAACGCTCCGATCGAACGGAAAAGAAAAAATTAAGACTGGGATAATTTTTATTGACCGTAATAAACATTAGACGAAATTTAATCAGTTTTATTAAATGAATTTACGTGTGACAACAAATATAAATTTATTAATTTGACGCGATTAAACAATTTTATAAAAATTAAGAAGAAAAATTTTCGCGAGATTCCGAATTTAAGCCGTAGAGAGATCAGCAGATACGTTGGAATATGCTAATTATAACAAGAATAATATTTTTAATATCATTGATGTTGGTGAACTATTTTTAATGTTATTGAAATTATTTATAATTTTTATTAAGATAACCAATTACGGTAATTGTTTTTAGTATACACTTTTTTTTTTGCATCCGTAAACACATTCTAACAGAAGTTTCGAAGAAGATAGTTTCCGTGTATGAAAAGAGAACAAGCAGAAAGACCAAACACATACCAACTAAGAAAAAAAAAATATATATATATATCTACTTGCTACAAGTGTATGCACGTTCAAATCAAGAAGAAAGAAAAAAAACGCTATCTGCTGCTTTCAAGAATTTCGTGACTAATTAAGGTAAGAATATATAAATTTTTGTTTTTTTTTTCTAAGCGAACACTCTCTCGCGATATTTATTTCTTCTCTGAATATCTCATTATAATACGTTTTATCGGGTCCAGTGAAAAAATTCGCTGGAGAAGTCATGCGATGATAAGTTTTGCGCTTGATTTACGATCTATTTTTGCGATGATGTTCGCGATGCATTTTCGCTGCGCAATAATAACAATACAGAATTGAAAAATGTTTCCGCAACAGCGTAAACGAGATTGGTATGAAATGGTTTTTTCACTGCGGAGGTGATGTCTTTTAATTATTCCACGATGCTGCACAAGCAATAAACTCTCCGAGTCTACGATATTGAGTGCGTGCGAAGTAAACTTAATCAACGCGGAATAAATCTTTGGCAACTTTTTTTGTTGCCCCGTCCTCCGGTGAAAAATATTGCTCATAGAAATGAACGAGGTGAAAATGGAGGAGAGTGATTTGCGGCCGACTCGCGATAAGTATGTGCGGGTCGTATTTCGACGCGCAAAACCGATTTGAAAATTTCTTCCTTAGAATAGCAGAGAGAGAGAGGTGGGAGAGAGAGGATGCATGTTAGCGAGATGCAGTCATGCGAATAATGCAATTTGCCGTCATATTACATGGCGAACTGCAATGTCAACGCGCAAAGTCGCTTTTGGTAATTAAAAGAGCACTCTCTCTATTAAGTATCTACTCCCCCTCCCCGACCCACTTCCACTTCCACTTCCACCGCCTATTCCAATACTAATTCCCTCCGTCATTTCCCGAGCTTCCCTTCCGTCGCTTCTTTCGCTATTGTGTAGGATTCCGGCGTGTCACACGCAGGCCTCGTTAAATCAATGTTATGTAAAAAAACTTCTCATCAGGGTTTTGGAATATATAAAAGTATTTCTCATTTGATTGTGTTCGTTTATAAGTGTCGATGCTCCTATTATCTGTAGCCTGCACAGGACGTATAATGTCCATTAGATGTCTACTGGATATCCATAACTCTGTGTGACGTCTAATAAACGTCTAATGGAGGTTTGTACAGTATGTTCCGAGTGGATAATCAACGTTTACGTACACATGAGCTTTTTTCTTGTAAAATGTGCGCAGAAATTAATTTTTATTTTTATTTTTTTGCATATTATTACGTAACGCACGGATTTCTTTCTTGTTACATAATACGAGTCACTGAAAGTACATCTTTTCTTTGATCAAGAGATTTTAATGAAAATGTTTATAAATCTTTATCGATTTTTATCAGATTTATTATCGCCGCGCAGATGTACGATGCCGCCAGACAGTGTAGACAGGATTTATATATATGTGCATTTTCTACTGTGCAACAAAAAAAAAGTCATTCTTTTCAATGTACACATGAAGGAAAAAAACTCGCACAACGCGCTTTCGGATCGCAACGTCATACGATGCGATTGCGCGCAACGAAAAGTCTTAACGTTATAAAAATATCTTTGTATTAATATCCGCTGTTATCAGCAAAATTATTTCTACGCGCGTGTGAACAGTTGGGGGGGAAAAGAAGGGAGGAGAAGAGAGAGTGTAGTATATAAATCCGGGAATTTTGCACATAAATTAGCGAATCGATGTCTCTCGCCGGCGGGTGAATGTCGCGAGGAACGCACGAAATTTTGCAGTATAATCAGCACGTTGCGGAAATTCGCTTGCTGCACCTATGGTCACGCTGCCGGCGATGTGTAACTGCATCGTGAATTGCGCTCATTTAATATCGATCGGCCGTTGATTTCGAGGCGACCGCGAAACGCGATCTGTATAAAGTCCGGTTATAGCCTCTATCGTGATAGTTGATCAAAAGCTTATCTATCACGGCCGACAGGGTGGAATACCGACGAAGAAACGCGAGCTAATGTTCCTTGAAATGAATTATTTCACACACCACGCCATCGCAATATCAGTTTTACGTTGCTCGTCGCGATTTCTCCTCTGTAAATCACGATAATTGAATTACTTTTTGTAAACTTGAAGCGTGAAAATATCTAAGGAAAAAAATAAATAAAAATGCCGACGCTTAGATTTTTGATCAGAATCTTGTAAACGTGATCTTTTTTTTTTTTTGTAAAATAGCGTACCGATGATTAGGACGGAGGTACACGTAAATAGAAAGATCTTGCTTTGAGATAAAAACTCGATGACACACACCGGTCTGGAGGCTACAAGCTCGCTTCTCATAGCCGGAGTTGTTATCTGTTAAAATCTGGGTTGTAAGCACATATACTCTCACACGCGCGCACGTATACACACGTGCGCGCACACATGCACACGTAACACAGCAAAGGCTATAAGAGAAGATCGAAGTGTCTTAAAAGAGTCAGCGTCTTTTTCTCTCTCTCTCTCTCTCGCGAGCAAAGCTTTCAGAAGCTTGTGTGGTTTTATGTAACTTAAACCTAATCCTAGCAAAAAAAAAAAAAAAAAAAAAAAAAAAAAA